CACCATACACTCCATGTAACTCAGTCTTCATTGGCTATGTCCAAAACTGCATTGCGTTCTACTACTAAATACTCAAGACTACCCAACAATGCTCCTGCACCTGCATAACACTGCATAACCACTACAATGCCCTTTTTGTGTCAATGCTATGCTCAGAATCATCCACCACACAAATAATAACTGGTCCGAACATATCCTACAGTGTCTTCCTTTCACATATTGATGTGGGGGACAGGGTTTGTGTGTAGATGGGAAGGGGGGTTTCTATAGTTTTATTGTGTATAATAACCCAGTATAATATACATAAAATGGGGTAAATTTCATAATTGAAGTGAAGTGAAGTGACGTCTGGCCAGGTATGGTGACCCATACTCGGAATTTGTGCTCTGCATTTAACCCATCCAAGTGCACACATACGCACACAGTAGTGAACACACACCCGGAGCAGTGAGCAGCCTTTTTTGCTGCGGTGCCCAGGGAGCAGTTGGGGGTCCGGTGCCTTGCTCAAGGGTCTCACCTCAGTCGTGGTATTGAGGGTGGAAGAGAGCGCTGGTCATTCACTCCCCCCACCTACAATCCCTGCCGGACCCGAGACTCAAACCCACGACCTTCAGGTTCACCTTCGAAAAATAAAAGGGCAAGTGTACCTAATAAAGGGGCCACCACTACCTTTTAGTTGGTCATGATAGTATGAGGTGCAGTAGAATTTTTACATAATATTTTTACATAGTATTTAGCTGTCACAGCTGTAGCCTATCCTAACCATGAGTGGTCGGGTGTACAATAAACCACGGCAGTATGTCAGTATGGTGTAATATAGGACAATATGAAAGGCAGCAGCATGCAGTTGTGCCACTATTTCTGTAGATGGGTTGTAGTGTTTTAGACAGTGGCATAAGCTACTTACTGCCATTTTATTAGGGTAGAGCATGTGATAAGATTTTGCGTTATTAATTAGCAAACTGTCAAGTACAGTAGTACATATATTTGGACATAGCTTCACATTTCTTTTTTTATTTACCTGCATTGTTATGCACAGTCGGCTGTCTACCAACAGCACCGAACAAAGGACGATGTCAGCCTGTCATGTAGAAACAGATAAGGTGTGTGCGTTGTTATTGTCCTCAGTGCACCTGCACACACTGTGCCTTTCCTTCTTCCACTGCTGGCCTGTCAGGTGTCTGTGGCAGAATGAGGCCACCACACACACACACATTCACAACAGTGCAATATGTTTAAGTGCTTACAGTTTTCTGTAGATGTTTGTCGGTGCATCTTCACATTGGTGTATGCGTTACACCGTGGCTTAATTATAGTGAGACCTTCTTGTTCCGCATGTTAAGTATTGAAAACATAATCTACGTTGGCCCATTTTAGTGTTCTTGTAAATGAGGGAGTGAAAAGAAAACATGGCCCTAATTAAAGAGAACTCTGGTAGGCATTAGCAGCAGTCCCCCAGGCATTTGGATTAAAAAAGTGGTAAACTTTACACCAGAAACCATTTGGTTGAAAGCATCATATCCCTATAGCTGTGTATGTACAATCAGCTCCAGAACTATTGGCACCCTCCCTGAATATAAGCAAAAATATTACATTAATAACATGCAATAAGTCTTATTTATATTATCGTTTTTTAATGTAACACAGCATTATTTAAAACAATCCTTTATAAAGTATTCCAGACTTTAAAACTTTGATATTTAAACTATTTATATAGTCACTTTTTTAAAAAAATATTTATATATATATATGTATATATATATATATATAAATAATGTTTTTATTAGAATGATTTTAGAAAAAAATGTTAGCAGTTTCTCCAGTTATTTGTTGCCGTTTTTCCAAATTTTTGAAAGGTGTTAATAATTCTAGGTTTGACTGTATATGTGATATATTCGATGGATTAACAATGGACTGCATGTGGGTTTGACTTACAATCTGGCGATGTGCAGCTTCCAGAAGATATTGGTGCCTTGAAAGTAAGGTTTCGCCAAATTCTCCTCTGCGAGTAATTTTAATTCTCCAACCAAAATTAAAACAGAATCTGAGCTCTGTTTAATCCTTCTCCTATCTGAATGTTGGATTGGGCTGTGGACTACCTTTTCTCCTTATCTTGGAGATAAATTCATTTGCTTCTCCAGGTTTAATTAAAGTGTGCAGCAGATGTGTCTTGAGGGTAAGGCCCATGGCACAGAATGAGTTGGGACTCTGTGCTCTCTCTCTCTTCCTCTATCTCACTTGTTAAAATGAGCCTTCTTTCTAATTACAGAGCAAAAGCCATTACACTTTGGTGCTCCTGACAGTTTTAATGAAATCTGACTACTCTGCTAATCTTAGATTAGCTTTCTGTGGAATTCTGAGGAATGATCTAAGTGAGGATGTTGGGTGTGGGGACCTTAGAGCAGCTGGAATAACCCCCCGTCTAGGGCTGTAACAATAAGTTTTTTGCTGTTTTATTTTTTAAAAATTGTCTTACAGTCATT